TATATAAATGACCTGGCCACTTGGCTTCAGCAGGAACAACAAGCACTCCTGGTAACTCCTTCAGGATCCCTAGAAAAGCATCCTCATGAACCTGGCATAAAGGAGAGTACCATGTCAGGGTCAGCACCTGTCCTTCCCTGCCTCTCATGTCTCTTCCTCAGTTGGCCAGCAGGTGTTGCTGGCCATCCTGTTCTCTCCTGTCTTTGTACCAGACTCTTGTGTATATCCACTACTCCCTGGAATGCCATGGAGCTCACTGGGTTCAGCGTCTGGCACAGAGGCTGTAACCCTGCAGTTGTGGGTTTGAGGCCTTCCACAAACGAAAACGGCGAGAAAAGCACAGACAAGACAAAAACTGCGTGCAAACATTGCAAAAGACTGATAACATACACAAATAGCACAACCAACATGCTTCAGCATGTCCACCGACACCACAGTGAGCTCAATTCACCACCGCCAGAGCGAAGATTATTAAAAGGGCAAACCACGCTAAAAAGCTGCACATGCAAGCCTTAATATAAAGTGTTAACAAATAAACTAAGTGCACCTTCATAATGCATTCATAGAACATTCATAAGCAGCACTTTAACTTTAACATCCTAACATCCCTTAACAGCTTTAATATACATTAATAACAAACATTAAATGATTATACAATTAGAATGTTTGTTATTATTATTATATAATGTTTGTTATTAATGTATATTACAGCTTTTAAAGGATGTTAGGGTGTAAAGGTATATATGCATGATGTTTATGAATGATTTCTGAATACTTAATGAATATATTATGAAGGTGTACTGAATGTTTTATGAATACAATATAAAAGCATTATGAAGGTGCAGTGTTACCGTTTATTTGAAGATTTTTCTTTTATATTTATTTTGATTTGGGATTTTTTTTAAAACAGTATTTTATTCAATTTCAGTAGCACTTTTAAGAAGAGGACACATTTTGCACAGTTTAGAAATATAAAGGAATATTTTTTTATAAATTTGTCTGCAGCTCATTCTGTAAAAAAATAGTGAGAAAATCGTATCGTGAACTCAATTGTGAGTCGTATGGTATTGTGAGTTGAGTGTATCGTTACATCCCTAAACCGTCCTATAGGAAGTTGTGTCCAGACATTTGACTGGTATTTTATGTACAATATGTGTCTATAAATGCACCCCACTTGTGAAATTTACGGGGGCCCAGCTGTTTTTTCAAAGGAAACACCTTGACGCATACAATATGGGAAGAAAGAATATAGAGGCCAGGCTTTTAAGGAAGCACTAATTGTACACTGATAAGAAATAGCAAATAATTAGTAAATAATTTACTCACTCTGTCTAAGCCAGGGCTCTTCAAATCTGGACCTCAATTCCAAACCCAGGCCTTGTTTTCAGTTCTCCCAGTTAGTTAGTTTAATAATTACTGATTCTGATTGGTCAGAGGCTTCACACCTGGCTGACAGGTAAAGGAAGGCTGGAAAACCAGCAGTGCTCAGACCTTGAGGACCATGATTTGAATTACCCTTGTCTAAGCTATTATGTTCAAGCTGACTGATTTCTAATACACTCATCCACCCAAACACTTTATATTGCTTACCCACACTGGGAAAACACTGAGGCAACATTAATCGGATATAAAATGTCATCTGTGTAAGAGTACCTGATGGAAGCCACCAGTAAAGAGATACTCTACAGCAGTGCTGGCCAAACTTGCCCGCAAAGGGCCGGAGTGTATGCAGATTTTTGGGATAACCTTCAGGTCAGCTGTTCAAACCCAGGTGTGAGGACTCTTCAGCCAATCAGTCCTCTAATTAATTAATAATTAGCAATCTAATTAGGGAGCTGCAGTGAAAAACCCACATACACACCCACCGGCCCTGTGCGGATAAGATTGCCCACTCTTGCTCTATAATTTTAAGAAAAAAGTTACATAGTAACAAGAACCATTTTCTGGTAACGCTAAGCTTCTGAAACTTTCCGAAACGGGAGCTTTGATGGACAGAATGTTCACACGGAAAGATGATCTGACTGTAAATGAAGGGAAGAATCCTACTCCAGAATCACATGGAAGTTTAAAACAGTCCCTGCAGGTGACACGTAATGTCAGATGGGGTCTAGGAAAGGGTATAAAAAACCGCAAGATAACACACATTGCCTGAAACGCCAGCTGCAAATCTAGATTCTCTCTCTTCTGTAGAAATATCTTTGCAGGCACAAAGATTCTTCCATCTAAAAGTCATGGACAAAATTCCCTCAACTAAAACTGTAGCATTTTCCTTATCAGAATTGTAGCTATATTATTAAACTCTATTTTAAACTGCTTTTATATGTCTGTTACAGTACTTCTCGGCAGATCAACAGAAGATCTGGCTTAAGTTTAAAATAACAGACAGACTGATAGCCCATGCATGTAGATGAACAAGTTGTTCAAACCAAACGTTATGTCTTATGGTTCCAAATGAAGAATCCATTAGGGATGGCTTTAATATTTTAAAGCAGGGGTGACCAATATTATCCAGAAAGGGCCGGTGTGTATGCAGGTTTTTGCTGCAACTCCCTAATTAGATTGGCTGAAGAGTCCTCACACCTGGGATTGAACAGCTGACCTACAGGTTATCCCAAAAATCTGCATACACACCAGCCCTTTCTGAATAAGATATTGGTCACCCCTGCTTTAAAGCATGCACTTAAGTACCGGTAAATAATTGAAAAGAAAACAAAACCCCTAGCACTTATTTAAATATTCAAAATTGTGTTGCAAATAATATATCAATTATTCCAACAATTAAAAAAAAAACATGCCACAAACTTTTTGTGCATTTTCAAGAAAGGGTTGATACATCAACAAGTACACATTTAGCTGAACTAAAATAAATGGCAGCACTTCACACAAATAATGTAGTAGTAGTACACTCTCACTTAATGCATTAATTAGCCAAAAACTTACTTTGTTACAAAAAAAAACTAAGTATTAGTTACGTGCTAATCCCATTGCTCGTTAATCGTTAGTCATAACGGTTTATATATCTTATTTACTTAAAGTATTTGTTTATGATTTGTACTTGAGTAGTAACCGAGCTATCAAGTTATTCGAGTCCCTTCAAGTAAAGTGTTCCCAAATAAATAAACAATTAAGCAGATAATCTTAGGAGCCTTACCCATCACCCACCACCACGCATTTAATAGCTTGCATCTTCTCGTATTCAGCAGCTGCGCGGGACTGACTGAAAGCAGAACTGCGATCCCGCCGCGGAGGAAACGCGTTTTCTGTCCCCCCCCCCGTTTTTTTTTTCTTTTTTCTTTTTTCTTTTGCTTCTGTTTTTTTCTGTTTTCACGTCTGCCTCTAACAGGTTGCCAAACGCGCCCAGGTACGTCCCGTTTCCTAAAATGCCTGCACTTGTACTTCCCGCGCAAACATTTAAGCGGATGAGTTAATACGACTCGCGCTTTGCCGGCACGCGCTTTTTTATCGTTCATCACCAGTTTTATATAGAGATATAATGCACATGCTTCGCCACAAGATGGCGCCAGACTATAAAATATTGAAACGATTCACCCTGTGACAGTTTGAAGGAACTTCTCTCAATCACGAAACTTCTATCGTGGAAAACACTCGTGTTACTTGTAAAACGTGTATTACTATCATTATTATTAATTACGTATGTTATTTATTATTATAATTACGACTTGTTTTTGGGCCTACAGAGTTTTTTTGTTTTTCTATGGTAATTATACCACGAAATTTCACACCTGTGCGCTTACCCTGAAGTTATACAGGCGAACAAATATTTTAAATAATTACGCACTTAAACTATGATCATGAAAAACGATTCAGATACTTAAGAATGTATGAAAAACGTTTTTCCCTTAAATATGCTATTATTATGAATAGCAACATTGATCTATGCAGTCTTGTTATTTTCTGTTCAAACTCCTTGTCACGCTGATCGATCGACGTCTGGCAATATTGATGACAATGGTAAATGATTAAATAATGAAATAATCCGCGACACCTGTGTGCCCAAAGACTATTGGGGTTGGGGAGGTACACACATTGCAAAAGAAGAAGGGAAAAAGTCTGCAGGGCTTTGCTGGCTCCATTTTGCGGAAGCCGTTGTCCATGCGGTCCTGTACATGATGACAGACTATTTCTGAAAACGGACCTTCGTGCCGGAGCTGCGCAGCCTGCAGAAGGAAGTCCTGTCGTTTAAACAATCATCGTTTATCTCGGTAATTTTATTAAACAACATTAGCAGAGTGACACTTTATATAAAGTACTGAGCATCAATGACAGACTACGTCCAACAGGGTGAGTGTCTGCATTATTCTATCTTTCCATCATTTCAGCCGACTGTCAGTGGGTTTTACATCATTTTTAGCCTATAATGGTTTGAGTAATATTCTTCTTCTTCTTCGACGATATATTGTGTCCTTGTGAATGTAGATTAAAGATTAAGAACCAAAAACCTCCAAATTAGTTGTTTATTGCTTTTGGGTGTGTGGACTACACATTTGTTAAATAGTTATAATGTGCATCATCGATTAATACAAAAAATAATCAGGTGAATAGTGGCACGCAAAAAACTTTAACCTTATGACTGATGCGTAGGTTAATTGTTAATAATAGCTCAGTGGTTTCACCAATACATGCACAAAACTTGAGCAGGTTTGGGAGATTTTGGAGTTAACTGAAAAACCGATCTGAGTGTTTTTAATAATAATAATGACATTTGATATGTTACGCCTCCGATATTTCGCATCTTACAATACTGAAGAGCTTGCCAATTTAATAACGTGTCATCACTTGAAATGGCATATAAGTAGAATACGTAATATTGGAAACAAAAAAAAAGGTATTCAGTACTCCGTCGAGTCTGTACGAGAAGTCATAAATGCATATGTAGTTTTTAGGTGGTGTCCTTTTACATAATATATAGACCTGTCACCTGAGAGTTTAAGCATTATTGTAACGTGCGATTTAATTTAGGCCTAATTTAATTAATTAATTCAGTTGTCTGATGGAAAGGGAGGCGATGGCAGCGGTTAGGCGTTGCTGGGTGTTAAGAGCAATGCTGGGTCATGCCGAGTTTGCTGTTTAAATGACATTTAACCTTACTGTTTATTCACGGCCCAATGCCCATTTATTGTGGCTCAGAGAGTAATTCTGAAGCACTGTTGCTCAAAGCTATTGACATTTCGTTTTACCCCAGTCTGACCTAATTTATGATGCAGTTAGTTGTGAAATCATTGCCTAAGTACTTTCTCTTAATTCTGGGGGCCCGAAGTGCACAGAGGGCGACAGTGGGCGCCTCTGTCTCCTCTTGTCACAGATATCAAGCGTGTAAGGTATTCTGTCGTTGTGTCTGCAAAGCCCGTGTTTGTGAACCAGCCTGGTTTTTAACTCCCCGAATTCTAGTTGAATGGATACCGCAATCAACGGGAACCCGATTTGCGTAAGCTTTCGTTTTAAACCTTTTTGCTAATAATCTCATCTGAGAAACGCCTATATTATTTATTATGATAAGGCTGCGGTTTAACATACGGGGGAGAAATTCTTTAAAACTGCCAAGGGAGACATCACTTAACCCACCTTTATAATCACGACACAGTAATTTACCCAGATTAATAAGACTTCGTAGTTTAGGTGTTTATTCACCACAACCCTGACGCATTGTTAATGCAGTTTTTAAACATCTCTTTTAAATATTACAGCAGCGCATCACGCCTGTAAAATGACAAACGTGTTACGTTGGTAATGTGAGATATTTTATACGGTATAATTACGCAGAGAATCCGACCCGCAATAGTGCATTTAGAGTTAATGATGGTGAGCAATACTATAACGGAGAATGACGTGCCCAGTGCGTATGTTCCATGCCTTCATGCAGTGTGTGATGTGGTTGAATGTCACCATTCTGGTTAGATGTCTTCCTATGAGCTGTGCCTGCTAGAGAATTCCTTCCAGTGTGGTGAGGAGGGCTACCAGTGCAGGCTCTGGAATTTTAGATAGGATAGTTGCCTATTGTATTAGCTATCACCCAGCGTGACTGTGATCTGCTCACCTTGCTGGTGCTTCACTGCAGATAGTGGCTAAGGTGAAGTTACCATGGAAGCCCGAGGAAACAACATGATCAGCTGAGGTGAAAAAGACGAGATGCTGATGAGGGACGCTGGATCAGTGCCTGCACGCTGATCAGTGCCTGCACGCTGATCTGTGCACTTCTGTCCTGCACTTATTTTAGGGCTAATCAACGGAAGGAAGGGCCAGTTTTGTTTAGTTGGGCCAGACTTAACAGCGGGAGCTATGGCTGCGGTGGTGTGCTGGGCTAACGCATGGCCAGATGAGTCATCCTTTGTTATTTTCCACATAAACCATTTTCTGTTCAAAACAAACCATCACAGTCAAGTCCTTGTGATCAGTGGTGAAGGAATTGGGAAGTTCTGCTATAACATTAGCATGGTTGAGCTCCACTCAGCCCTTTAGACAGCAAGGTGATAATGATAATGTACTTGTAATAATGCCAAAGCCATTCTCAATGCTCACATTCACCCTGCGGTTAGGCATTTCCATCCTGATATCATTCTCCAGGAAGACTTTGCCCCCCAGTTGCAAAGCAAGAGGATGTCTGAATGGTTTGCCGAGCATGAAAACAATGTTTCAGAGACCTATTAGACCTGAGCGGTATTCTGTAGAGCAGGAATTCTAGCCAAATAACTTAAGCCAAATGTATGGATCGTCCAATAGGAATGTCACACATCTCTCTTCCTATTAGACAGTTTTCACATTTGGTTTAAGTCATCCAGCCAACTGTTAAATTCTGCTTTGTGGAACATCTCCCAATCTCATCCATACTGCAGGCGTATTCCATTACCATGAAGAACGTACCGATTTATGGGTTTTTATCGAACAGTAGTATCACAAACCTCCATCACTTAGGAGCTTTCTGGTGTCCCGTGATGGTCCAACACCTACCATGATACTTTATTTTAGTTTCATCTTTTGGTACTAAATTGTACGCCTATAAATTTTATATGGAATAGTCTCAATAGGATAATGTTGCATATCAAATGATGGAGAGAGATAGAGTGACAGAGAGAGGAGTAGGTAAATGCACAAACGAAGTATTTTGAGCTGGTTGAGATACAATGCAGACTAGTGTCCTTAATTAGCATGAGAAGGGGATCTCCGTAAGTTCCTCACTCTATTATGTTTACGTGTGGAGGTCACTTGATCTGTGCTTGCATTTCGATATGGTCACATTCAACAAATTGTGATGTTCTTCCACAGTGCCAGAGTTCTGTGAAGTTTGGTGTGAACGCCAGATGTTGATATAGGTGCGGCAAATCACGAAACTGAATTTTGAAATCCAGGAAACCTCTTCACAGAAAGCCTCTTTGATTGATCTCTGCCAGGCATTTTAAAATTTATTTATTTTTTCTACAGTCACCTTAATACACGGTTTCAGAATGACTGGCACAGACAGTAATGGAGTATGTGTTTAGGTTTGGTCTCATGCTTTTTCGGTATGACTGAACCTGAGGTCATTTGGAAAGAATATCAGTATTAATCTTTGACTAATGTGACTAATCCATGTCTGAGCATGTGCAGCACTAATCCATGTCTGAGCATGTGCAGCACTTGCCTTAAAGTGTCAGCTACTAATTTGTGAGCCGCACCAGCTATAATTCTTTCTTAATTATATCTTCAGTGATGTGCAATTTCCCTTCAAAAAAGCACCGTTGTTATGTGGTGGTAAAGTCGAGCTGTATTTCCTACATGATGCACATATAAGGTTCAAAAACTAGCTTCGCAGAAATTCGAAGACCAAAATAAAAGCAGAAGTGCACAAATGTATATTACGCTGACCTAAGAAATCGTCTAATGTATTCAGTGTTTTTTCTGCGAAAATGTATGCATTGTTGGACATAGGTTCTTTACAACGGCTGAAGTTAACTTCAGGTGAAGGGCATAGGAAACCACCTCGATGTTTAAGCTGCCATCAGTGTAACAGGCTCTGAGGTGACCTATATATTGGATAATGTTTTACATTAACTGCACCTTCAAAATGCATTCATAGAACATTCACAGAACATTCATAAGCAGAATGTAAGTATATCGTAACGAGCTTTAAAATACATTAATAACAAACATTTTATGGTCATATGATTATTATGTTGATCATATAATGTTTGTTGTTACTTTAACAGCTGTAGTATACACTATGTTAGAATGTTAAAGTATACTTGCATGCTGCTTATGGCTGTTCTATGAATGCATTATAAAGGCATTTTGAATGTACAGTTAGTATAAAGCGTTACCAAATATTGTGATGATCAGGATGGTTAAAGCCTTCATTAGTAACACTGAGCGTGTGGTAACTATGCACTTACGTGTTTGACATATGGCCGGAAATGCACCACTTAGTTCTCACACATAAATACTGTTCTGAAATATAATGTTTAAGTTAGTGCTATCAAACTCACGCAGACAAACTCAGCCAGCAGCGCATAATCGTGCCACCAATTATGGCTGTTAAAATCTACATTCTTGTGCTTTTTCTTCCACAGTATCAGAAGACTTCAGTCCCCTGGAGAGACTGGAGATTGAAAACCTCAGAATGCATAAAAATGAACTCTTACTTGACATAGAGGTATTATTGGCACACGTCTTTGCAGCTAAAGGGTCGGACACTTGGGGGGCAGCATCATCCTGTGATGCAGGATGAACCTTACGCTGTAAGATGATGAAATAATTGCAGTTGAAGATCAATCCATAGACACTTCTCATTTACGGGAGATGGTGGTGTCATTCTCATCCACTGAACGACTGTCTGCTGCTTCTCCTTTTTGCAGAAGCTGAAGTCGGAGATCGAAAATGTCATGGCAGAAATACAAGATTTCGAGGAGGCAGAGGAGAAGTGAGTGCTCCTATAGCGATATTGCTTCATGTTACAGAAAATGGCAGCTAACCCTAACTCCGATTTGGCAGTGGTGGCTTAGTGGTTAGGGAACCGCACTTGAAATCGAAGAATTGCAGGTTTGAATCCCTGCCCAGCAAGGCACCACTGAGGTACCCTGAGCAAGGTACCGTCCCCAAGCACTGCTCCCCGGGCGCTGAATTAGCTGCTTCCTGCTATGTCATGATGTCACATATGGGATAAATGCAGGGGACACTTTTCATTGTTGTGGGCTGTGATGTGTCAACAATGACCACTGATCACCAAATTCTATAATTATTTTATTAATTTTCACGATCTGTGAGTGCTAGAGGAAAAACTTTGATCTGTCTTACGTCTTATATGTGGGGAAAATAGGAGATTCAGTCTTAACAATATGCCTGATTCTGCTTATCACTTAAGGTGCATCGGATCATGGTTGTAGGATTATACATTATGCAGGAATTAACACCCATTTGCCCAGAAACCCTCAGAATCATATCAGGCTTTGCTTGAGGCCTTTCTCCCATTCTTCTGCTCTCCTTGTCTACAGCAAGGTCAACGAGAGGAATAAGCAGTTTGCAAGTGGCAAGAAGAAGTTCAACATGGACCCCAAGAAGGTGAATTTACATGGACCTATGCTTAGAATAACAGCAATACAGTTTTCATCTGTGTCCTCACTCTTTTTTTGAGCACAAGTGTCATACTTATATTGTGTCAATTTCCCGCCATTTTGACCTATAATCACACAACAGCCACCAGGGAACAAAGCTATGTGTCATACATATCTGGTGGCCCTGAAGAGCGAAATGGGACAAATTAAGAAAAAGCAAAAACACGTAAAGAAAAAGCAAAAACACTAAAATGAAAAAAAGCAAAAAATTATTATTATACATTGTGATATATGATCAGTGGGTGAGAATAAATAGTTTTTATCTTATATAAAAATATCACTGAATGATATTTGCGGTGACGATTGCATTCTTCCAATATAGTTGAGCTGTCTTTTCCTTCCACAAATATATATTCAGATGTGGGTCTAAGCACAAAGCCTCAAGTTTGCATTGTAACATTTCTTTTATTTTGGACATATAAGATATGTAAAATTTAAAAAATATTTATTGATGTCTGTACCTGTGCATTTTCTATGGGATATTGCGTGAAACAGCTTATGAAAAATGGTTTTATTCAGGAAACTTACAAGTACCTTGTCTGATCTTCCGTCTCGCATTTACGCTGTCAATTTTTAGCAGTGTATTCAGGTACCTGACCACCACGCTGTGAACTGGCGATCTCTAGTTAAAATTCTCTGATAGCATGCACACACTTCATCCTGTCGTTCGATTTTTCTTTGCCCTGTTTAGGATTTTCTCCAAAGGCTTAAAAACGTGGGACATAACTCTGGAAATGGAATGCTGACCTTGCTTTTATCTTATTCTAGATTTATTATTTGTCAGGTGTTTTCTTAGCACACATTGCCATAGATCGATCCAGAAAGTGACAGACTCTGCGGTTTTGTCATGATGTCATTTCAAAGAAGCATCAACGTCCATGGAATCTCTGCTGCACTGAGCATGCTCTGTGCAGGCCTGCGTCCTGCCTTAACTGCTGTCAGCTGAAGATTAGTAAACAGGCCTAACCCTGTTGATGGGATTAAGACCTTTGTTTTGTTGACAGGAGTTCAGCCTCCCAAATTCAGATAAACCTTTGTGGCTGTCAAATGAAAGAATGGAGAGCTCTGACATCTGTCAGAATAATCAGCAAACGGGAAGGCTTTGAGTTCAATATTTCTCATGGGAACTTTAAGCTCTTAGGGTGCTTTTGATAGATAGATGGATAGATAGATGATAGATGAAACTCATTTGCATATAGCAGAAAATTAACATAAAGTGCACAGATACAAAACATTATGCAAAACCCAAGAAAAATGCAAAGACAATGGACGTAATGCAGGCCGTTTGTGCAACAGTCTATATATAGATAAATAACTATTAATTAACAGATTGTACACATGATGGGCATAGTCATTGGAAATATGCTATTAGTATCATAGTCCTGTTGAGACTGGCCATTTTATGTAGGATATGTCCGTATCTCGGGGATGGGTCTTTTCTCCTGGTGTTGTCTCAGCCCGCACATGCTCAGTCTCGACACTTAGCGTAAAGCAGCAGATACTGCAGCACTTGGGGAAAGCTCAGAAAGTAACTTTCACTATGCATTGACCCTCCGTCTGGTTTCGAGGGTGGCAAGGAGCTCCGGGAACGGCTCACTGCATCGGCGGCACTTCAGATCTGCATGCTGAATTCTGCAGTGTTTTCAGCGTAGGTGAATGTTGTCTCTCACTTTAGCTTGGAGACCAGCGCTATTTTTTTGTGTGGGAGAAGCAAGAAGAGTGAGATAAGTGTCTGTTGCTGGTTTGTGGGGTTTCAGCCCCCTTCTGCTGCCTGTAACCCTTTCAACATACCTTACAGACACGCCAGAGGCGGAAAAAAGCCTTTGTTGGACTTCCTTTCACGAAGAAGAAGTTGCAACTAAAAAAACTAAAAAAAAAGCCACAGCTTTCTCAGTGTGAATAAATTAGGTTAAGCAAAAGGAGGACTTTAAATAGACATACTGAAGCGATATTCTTAAGTAACTTATTTTGTTATTCATAAACACAAAAGAAGAATCTGGAAAAAATTTCATCAGACTAATATCATACGGATAATCAGTATTTTCTTGCCTTATGAGTAGCAATGTACATATTTTGTCATTTTTGGTTGTTATTCAGTAAATTTCTACTGTAGCAAATGAGTAACACCTGCTAGACCAAACTCAGAGGTCTGAACTTCCCGATAACCTCTAACTGTAAAAAATATCATCAATATTGTATTAAAAATCGAATTTGGGAAGTTGTCACTTATTTTCACTCCCTATTTCTCTTCTGCTTTCCTGTAAGAGTTGCGTTTCTGTCGTACATCAAGCCCCATTTCCTTGCTCATCGAGCCCCGGAAGGGCTTGACCGGCCAGCTGGGCATCTCCGCAGGACACCCTGATCGGCAAATTTTATCCTAGATTTGTATTTGTTCTAAGGCTGCAGTCCAGGGCCCATTCGTTTGAAATGCAGTTGAACGCTGTTGCCGGTGCTCTTTCATTATCTATTGCGTTTTCCATCCAGGGTATTCAGTACCTGGTGGACAATAAGATCCTGGAGTGGAGGCCCCTGGCGGTGGCGGAGTTCCTGTACAAAGAGGAAGGACTGAACAAGACCGCTATAGGTGACTTCCTGGGAGAGAGGTACGAGCAAGACTGCTGTGTGCCTGCACTGCACTGTTTGCCTGGCCCAAAGCTCTTATCTGTGATGTAATTGAATTCATGGATTTCCTTTTCCATAGAGATGATATGAATATTCAAATACTGAAAGCCTTCCTGGAACTGCATGAATTTTCTGACCTAAACTTGGTTCAGGCTTTGAGGTGAGAAGCTGCTTCTGTTCTGATACTTTAGTCCCATATTTCACGTCCGACTTCCATGCGCCTCTGTGCTGCCATATTCACGTCTGCTTCCATGCGCCTCTGTGCTGCCATATTCACGTCTGCTTCCATGC